CAAAATATGCCAGAAAGAGCTGGTACCGACCAGCAAATATCAGCATAGTAGAATTAAATGCATTCATTTTCTTGTAGGTTCTCTCACTAAATCGTTGTAGTCTGGAGGCTACGTTGTCTGGAAACACTATCAACCTGGTCTCCAATGACGCACAAAAGATCGAGAAGTCTTTGAACAGCGTTGGATTTATACTGTCAGCGCCGTTAGAGATAGTGATCAGCCTGTTAATTCTGTGGTACCTGATTGGCTGGAAAGCTCTTGTTGGCGCTGCTTTCCTTATAGTTTTAGTTGCCTTTCAAATGTTAATGGCGAGGAAAGCTGCAAAGCTGAGAAAGAAAGCAGCCGCTTTCACAGACAAACGGCTCGTGGTGATGAATGAAATCATCTCTGGGATACGAGCAGTGAAGATGCACGCTTGGGAATGGAACTTCAGAGACATTGTGCGCGACCTCCGCAGGTAATTAGGTATTAGTATATATCCACCCAGGGACCTTGGCATTTACAGGCATGAGAGTTACCCCACTGTGAATTAGAAAGAAACATAATCATGTTCAAACCGCAAGTTAACGTAAGTGCCCGTGGGGGATTGCACTAAACTTTTGCATCTTTTTCTCTAAAAGTATTGGTTAATTATTGATATTGGATAAAATATCACTCATCGAGCTTACACTAAACAGAAAGCACTTATTTTTTCCAAACACCTGGCATATTTTAGTTGAATCTAACGCACACTCTTATTGGTTGATTTATAGTCACGTGGCAACGGCTAAATCTAAATGTCGCCCAGTGGCAATTGCTACCCGCTCTCCCACTGACCAGAGAAGTTACTTTGACTTCTTCCTGCCTTATCACTTTACATTTAATTCCAGCTATACGAAAAAACACTTAATTACTGGCCCCTTGCGAAACAGTTACGTTTGCTTTCCCGAGAAAACATAACTTACTGTTTCTCTCGGAATCAGTCATTAAGTGTTTATTGTTGCCGTTTTGAACTCGCCAAATTAAAATAGTTAACTTAGCGCCCGACGAACTATTGCCAAGCTGTCAATCTATGAATAATCTCGACTCGATAGTGAAAATTTGTTGCCCATCTTTTAGAGACATAGAGTCTCTAGGATATCGGCTAGTCTACTTCTAGATCTGACATTAACCTTTGATGCATTTGTTCTCATCATGTTTATATCCTTTCCTGTGATCTGTTCACAGGAAGGAGATGGCAATTATCCGCTTGAAAGGTTTAATTGTATCAATATTACTGGTTTTGTTCTTCACAACGATTCCCATGGCTACTCTGGTTTCAGTGACAACTCTGATATTGACAGGAACTCACTTGTCATCATTTGCGATATTCACACTTCTACTAGGATTTGCAATACTACGAGAGACATTTTGCTACAACTTGAGTTTATCCATGCAGATTGCCTCGGATGGCAAGGTAGCACTCGATAGAATACAGACTTTTCTGATGGAGAAGGTTTCGAAATCCAAAGGAAACGGGGGAGGCAATAATCAAAATCAAAACCTTAAGGGCAACCTTACGGAACAAAATGTTGAAGTCGAAACGAAAAATAAAATGGATGTGCAGTTGCTTATTTACATACAAAGAGATGATGACTATTTAAGCGAAACTCGAT